CTAATTTTATTAATTATCGATTATCAATTAACGATGCTATATTTGCTAGGCAATCCAAAGTAACTGATCACACAAATTTATAACCTTTACATTTATTTACCACTTGTTTCTTGCCGAATGTCGAACTCTTCTTTTTCGATCGAAATTCGATCTAAATTTACTTTAATCTTCTCAAATTTTACTACATCCGATTTCAAGTGCTTGAAGACACACAATAATTGTTATATTTCCCCTCACAATATCTTTTCACCTGTTTTACGTGATTTAAACGGACAAGAATGCAACGAAATTTATATCATATACAACGCATGCGCACTGGATTGTGCGCAATTCTCTTTAGCGCGTAATTTTGATTTCACCCTTGTATTTTTCTTTATCTTGCTATTTAAAAAGATCACGTATTTGAACAGGAAACGTTACTATCAAATATCAGACAATTGTTTAATAAATGCAGCTGTACGACAATGCTATAAATATCAGTATACGTGATACAGGTGTCGTTTCTGTATTCACGCGGTGAATTTAAATATTTCACGAAAAGCGTGACCGGTCATGCGGAGATTTCGATCGATTTCATGGTGTATAAATCGAACGTTGTAGATGGTTAAAGTGGCGTCGGTGGATCAACCTTTAGTTTAAGCGAAATCTATTTCCGACACGCGGCACCCGTATTCGTTCGTCTGATTGGCTGGCCACCTAGCACCACACGATGTTGGCCGCATTTTCTTGTATTTCACTGCTAATCGGGTCACTTCCGCCATTGATTTCGACGTCGAAATCCACGCGATAGTAGCGTAAAGTTACGAACAAATAAATACCGCGCAAGACGACTTAAGCCGGTTCATGCAACGCGAACTAGTATTATTGGAGCAGCTTGATAAATAATCTGAACCGATCGTTTCAATACCACCCAATGAGAATATACTCGTTCTATGAACCTAACCGAATAGAAATTTGATTGAAATAGACTAAAAATGATTTGAATCATTACTTTTTTCTACTTGAAGTATAATCAATAAATTTCCATAATCTGAGAAACGAAGTTCCTATCTTTCTAGTAATCATCTAAGTCGCGAATTTTTTAATAATTTTTTTAAGACAAACAACGAGAAACAAGTAAACCATCGAAATATATCCCATTATATTTTTGGTACAATCAAATGAAGATAAACTTGTTAAACCACCAAGCGTCGATGTTACCAAGCATAGATCCGATTGAATTCTTTTTTTAGGTGGCCGAATGGGAAAAAAATCAGCAGAGGAAAAACGGAATTTTATACACTATAGATAATCGCGTATACCAAAAAGGAAACTTCAAATGATTGTTAATAAATGTCATATCGTAAAATTGACTTGTATCAACGAAGGTGGGTGCTGCAGCAACTTGTTGTGTCACAACAAGACATATCGCAGCCAGATATTTCGAGTGCTGCACCTTGGACGTGCGTGGGCGTGCACCTTCTTCGCGGCCACGCTCGTTTAGTCATCTTTCCGCGAAGCTAAAAACTTGGCCTTCGACTGGACCGTTCACGGTTTAATTCACTGGATGAGCCGTGTCACGGGGGAAACTGTGTCAGCAAAATAGCGCAGCTATCTTACGAGACACCTTGGACATGCGATACAGAATTTCATTTCATCGCGAGTTTTTACGACGTCATTGGTAGGTCAGGATCACCGTCCTGCTAAAAAGATTCTGATGTTTCGGCTCCGATATGGTAATACAGCTTTGTCTTCTCCTCAATAATTCGTCTGAGTGCAAAGAAAAAAAGAAGAAAGATAAAATTAAGTGGACCTACACGGAAGACGAGTCAACATTTGTTGCAGTTATTTGCTACCTTAACTAGTTTTCCAAGAAAACAAACGATCTGTTTTCTTCGATCTGAGAGAAAGAGAACTATTAATCATGGAAGTTTTCAGAGTAAACGAGGGATCAGTGGAGGATTTGTTATACTCTGTGCTTCCGCGTGGCAAGTTGACAGCATTTCATATCTGTCATCCCGCTGACTTCGTGTCGGTATATGAATATTACGATTTTCCATCGATCGATAGGATCGAGACGTTGGAAATAATTTTTGATCAATTGCTTTCTCGATGTCTGAATATTTCAATCTAACTTCTTCAACTTTCCTATCTGTCATCAAAATAATCATCAAAATGCATTATTTTCTATTCAGAATGTTATTAGTAATTTTATTTTAACATAATTCTTTTTGAAAGACAGAAGAATCATCCGATATGCAATAGAGAAGTTCAACAACAACAAGACAAGTTTGTGCTCGCATAAATTTCGTAATGTACCAGTTCCCGTGTGTGATAACTTGTTTTTCAATCATTCAATTATTCAACAATAATGTCACTGATATCCTGAATGTGCTGCGATACTTCTAAAAGAAGAATCGGTCCCAAAATAATCGGAAATTCAACAAGCACAGACAACAGATTGTCCAAGGCCAGCCACGATTGTGACGAAAAATCTGTCGATGACAGTGAGAGAGAAACGCTTAGATTCTGCGTAGCAGAAGGTGGACAAACGAGGAAGTCGAAGAGCCTCGGAATGGGGTTCGAACGGTGGATCCAAACGCGAAGCCAACACGCTGTTCGCGTATCGCTTGAATGCGAGATCGACACTTGCACAACACTCACGAAAATAGCACGACGACGAGCTGACGCGGTGGCCAGCGAGAGAGGAAAGAACGAACGTACGAAAAAGAAGTTGATGAAAATGCTAGACAGACTCACCTCCAGTTAAACAAGTTCAGAGCCGGCGAGTGTCGAAATTTTTATCATCGACGAGAAAGAACGGAGGTAGATTGCGCGGCTCTTGTCACCACGCTGATCACTGGATGTACGTAATGGATCGATAGATCAGCCACTGGATATATCGTTCACCACTTCACGCTCGGAATCCCCGAATAAATCCCCCGAGGCGGTGAGGAAGCCAGCCGGCGGCTATCTCGAGACTGCTACCAATGCCAGCCGCAAGGCGCCCCGATACCCTCCACGCTTCTCTTCTGTCTCTTCTTCTTCTTCTTCGTCTTCTTTCCTTCCTTCGCTTCTTTTACTTATATCCACACGTTGTATGCATTGGCATTGCTCTGCCATCATCCTAATCGTCATCATTGTTCATCCACTCTTCTTGAGGTAGTTCATGGAACAACGCACCTGTTGTCCGATGAACCGGCATTACCGATTTACCGAATTTTGTTGATCGATTTGTGTTGTTATAAGGATGACTAAAAATAACATATCTATATAAAATCACGGAAATATAGAATCAAAGGAAGAGAATCAACGATCTTGACAAGAAACAAGTTGAAGATATCAAGTATTTTCGCACTGAATTTTAAAAGATAATCGTTCTAATAATACAATAGAAAAGCATTCGTTTGAAGAAATGGCGACCTTTGGTATTCCCCTCGTAGTATTCTCGCGTCGCTGTACGCGAGCCAAGGGTTCCTCCAAGTAATTAACGAGGGATCGTTGCACAATTGTGAATTATCGACGAACAATGGCCATTAACGTCCATCGAAAAGTCTGCCGCTTTCTGCCATAAATATTAACTTCCTCTTCCTTCAGCAATTAATTTCTTATCGCTTTGCGTTCCGAATTACGTTCGTCGAAGCGGCTGTACGCGCGCCAAGGCTCGATTAAATAATTAGAAATACTCGATTACGCAATTGACGGACATCGATCGATTTAAAAATACTGTCCATTTCACAAGTATAATATTGCGAATCCGATTCAACGCAGTCATCGATGTTTAATGATATTCCCACGGTGTTACGCGATTATTTTCCAAACTGTAAGCATCGTTCGTAAACAGAATTTGTGACCAGCGCTTTGTCATCGTCATAGCGTGCATAGAATTCGATCAATCGCATTCACGCACCTAACAAGCTAGTCCATCATTGAATTATTTTATAGTATATTTAATATTCGGTGGAGAACGCAGTTAATGAAGAGCGCAGTTAAAACTTTCGAGTTGCTTCGAGAGAGTGGAGAGTGATGCGAATTATCTTCACTATTAAATATGCTTGCAATATCGCCGACGTACGAACGAAGATCAGTTGCTTCGGCTGGTTCTAATAATAATCGATGTTTAACGTGTCTCCAGGGATTTCATTTTTGGTTCACAGCCGACATATACACATACATTGTATTTACGATGCGTGTACCAACCATAATTTCTACGACAGCTAGCTTTTAGCTTCAGTCACTCGTCCTTTTTCCCGCCTGCAGTCGTCTACTGTTCAGCGTCGATGGTGCTTCAATGGATCTATTTGTGTTCTGACTTGGTTTTACTATCGTTATACATCAACGATCAGCAAGATATATATTCCATTATCTGTCACCTGTCATTTAATTGAAATAAATCGCAGTTAACTTCTTTCAGACACGATACAAATAAATTCGTTTATGATGTAATATACTTGCAACTTCTTCAATCAATTCAACTATCAATATTTCACTGCAAAATTATGCTGAAAATGTGTCGCATGAAGCGGTGATAGATGGAACAGAACGGTAAAAGGATTGAAGGATTACGTTGCCCGGCGACAAAATGCGCCTATAAGTTCATTTCCGTGTTATTAATGCAAAGATGCCGCGTGTAGGACATTTGTACGTAATATTTGACTAATTGAGGCCGGCGCGTGTACTTGGCAATTTCCCAACTCGCTTTGATCGCACCTAGATCAACCCTCGTGAAAGCAACACGTATAAGTACCTATACATCCGCGTGGGACATGTTTTTGTAAATTTAAGTACACGCGTGTACCGTTCGAAACGAGCAAGTGGATTGAACTGAGCCTCGTAAACTTTTCACGTCGCTCAAAGGCCACTTTACGTTGAGACTTTCTTTAAAGAAGGAAAAAGAGAAATACGAACGACCGTCTTAGATTCGAAGAAACATAGACACTTTTAAATGATATTAATTTTACTAAATAAAATCGTGGAAAATATTTTTACTCTCTTCACGGATATTTCAAAAGTCGGCATTCTTTGAAATATGCCACTCTTTCGATAAATCAGATAACAACATGACAAAAGTTGGTCGTGGAGAAGAAACGAGCATCGAAAGTCGCGCGAGCGCTTCCTGCGAACCTTTTTCGGAGACATGTCAACGTGTCGAAAGAAGAACGCGTGAACGACCATTTTTCTTACGATTTATTAACGATTGTAATAACGCGGGACACTGAGAAAGACAGAACTCGAAGGGAGAATAACTGTCATGAATCGACGTGGCGGAGTACGAGCTTGAAGGATCCATCCAGTGATTACGCCGATTCAATGGCATCAGCCATAATTTTTCGATCGATCTACCTCGCGGAGGAATGCTGCTAACTTTCAGGTATGGAGCAGAGATAATCTCAGGTAGAAATGACGCGTTATCAATGTTTTTATAAGAAAGAAGAACGAGAATATTTGTTAACAAAAAAAAAAAAAAAAAAAAAAAAAAAACAGGTTGACCATGATCGTTCCGCTACTAATCAGCGCAGTTTGCGTCGAAGGCAATTCCAAAAAATTATCGTTCGTACCATCAGAAGAAAACAAAGCACTAGCTCAGTCGCATCGACAAAGTTCTACATTCTTGAAGGAGACGTCTGTTCACGATGGAGATTCAAATCTCGTAGAGAAACGGCACTCGAACAAGAACAACGAGTTCCAAGACTCGAGGCTACGTCGTGGTAGTATGAATTCTTTAGAAAACGGACTTTCAAGAACAGATGGCGGAGGATTAGCTCACAAAATGGCCAAAGACGCGCTGAAATCTCCAGAGATGCAAGAAACTATAAGGAAACTTTCGCGTGTTGGGACCAAAAGGACTTTTCGTACGAATGGTAAAGTGCCAGGAATATCGAAAACTGGAGCGAAGGCAGCTGAAGAGAGAAGACACCAGAAAAGAATGAGACACAACGGGCGAAGAAAAAAGAAGAGAAAAAGGTAGTGAAACATCATTCTAAGTTCTAAAGTTTAGATCCATTCAGCTATAATCGTACTTTTCTGTTTTTCAGACACCATCAAAGACACAGGAAACAGCGTCCTGGTTTGTTAAAGAGGGGATCCTTTAAGGTAGGTAAGCTTCGTTCAGCAATTTTCCACTAATTTTTACGATCTCCCCAAGCGGTCAGTTTTACTACGCACTGGATAAACGTTTGAAAAATATTCCTTTACTCAGAGAACGTTGGACAGCGAAAGAGACGTTAACGCGTTAACACAGAAATCAAACGGAAGGGGGAATTCTATGATTAAGCGTAACCCAGTTACTCACGGCGAAAACTCACGCGACAAATCGTCCACCTCAAAATCGACTGTTAAAGTTACCGGTGTAAAGGTCGACGAAAACGATTACGTTGATTTCTCGACGACTATGAGTATCAAGTCCACTCGAAAGTCACAAAAGACCGAAAGTCTTCCTGCTAAACTGCAGCAGAACGGGAAAATGGTCGAACGTTTAATGAGAACAACCACGAAGGATCCGTCGAAAAAGAATTCTGGCGACCAAGGGGTCGAGTATTCGGATTATTACAGCGACGACGAAATACTCCAGGATATCGCGGCGAATAAAATCCCGATGCAACTAGTAGACTTGAAAAATCCAAACGATCGATTCGCACGACAAGCAGTAAATTTTACGTCGTACCGTGACAATCAGATCGATAGAAACTTGCAATCTCACTATCCGGATAACAATGCTCGTAGAAAAGAGTTCAGGTACAACGATGACAGTGTCAATTATCTTAATGATTTTCAGAATTATCCGACAATCGAGCGTTCCTCGACACTAAATCGGAACTCTCGCCTCTTTGGAGCAGATGATCCTTCCCTCGGTTACGCGACCAATTACAAACCTTTGGAACAACGAAGCGGAAACCCCGACGCGCCATATTCAGCCAACGTGGCGGCAATCCCCGAACAATCGCAAGTACTCGAGGGGATTAATAATCTTGATACGTTCGATCCGAATAAATTAAACGACAAACAACAACCTGTTGTCGAAGCACAGAATCCAGATCGATTTCATTATTTGAATCAATACGAAACTTCTCAAGAGCATTTCCAAAGCTCAAATTCTAACGAACCTCAGAGCCTAAATGTAAACGAGCCTGGTGAACCACAAGTTCGTCAATCTCAAAATACAAATAATTATCAGCAGATAGAGTCGAATTTGCCACGGGAAGAGAGCCTTAATCAGAGTGCGATGAATCAACCTCAAATAGACAATGCGGGGATGCCAGATGCCAAAGAGAAAGATACGGAAGTTCATACTCAATTCAATTACTCGCCGCTTCAATTGTACAATCTGAAAGATGAACAAGAGTTGAAAAATTTCCCAGCACAATCTGTGTACAATATTCCGGCAGTGAAGGTTCCCAACGCGATGGATCAGCCCCTCGGAAAGATTCTGGAATCGCTGGGAATTAATGTGAACGGCGGTTTAAATAATGTCAATCAAAATGAAAATTTGAACGAAAATATCAATCAAGTGTTGCCTTACTCGGATACATACGCGAATGGAATACCAATGGAACATTTCATAAGTCCTGGTTACTTAAAAAAGAAACAAAATAATGAGCAAACTAATTTTTACGAGGATGGTAATACGAGAGGATTGGAATATCCAGGAATTAAATCTAGAAACAGAAATAAGGTGAGAGAGGGATATTCGAGACAGTCGAATAAAAATGGAATACACAACGATGATATCTTGTCACATATGGACGATTATAAGGACTCTAGTAATAACACGAACATTTCCATCGTGGTGCACGATACGAAAGAGGTCGCCAATCAAATACTCGATACCATAATGGAGGAATTGGAGGAACTGAAAGAAGATCGATCGAAGAAGAACAAAAGAGAAGGTAAAATCGAAGGAATTGCATATAACGTGTAAAATAATCAAACGAGACGGTAATTGGCCTGAAGCTTGACTTGACTATCTCTGATATATGAAACGAGTGATATTTTTAGGCTTACCTTGCCGTTTGTCAGGGTCCTGGTCAACGGCCCAGGCCGGAATGAAATTGGATATGAGGGTCGTGAATCGTACTATAATCGTGACTCTTTCCGATCTCGCGTCACCGCATTTACACGAAAGTTTCCTGAATGGAACGTGGAACGTATCTGGTCACGTCCCATTCAAACGTGGCTCGCCGTTCACCCTCATCGCCACCAACAACTACACCAATTCAATAGCTGTCTTTGTTGGTATGTAATTCCTTAATTTACGAATCATTGTATTTTCTTGCCTTAGCAATTTAAATCTCAAGCAGAGAAGATCGAGAGAGATTTGTGTTGATGAATCTCTGTTTAGGTGCTTGCAGAGTCTGCCAGGGTATCGACACCATAGCAGGTGTTTGGTCTGTAGCTCGACAACCAAAGGGTTGCAAAGACTTTCAGGTAGCCACCAGTGTCTTCAACGATATTTTTCGTAAAACAAAATTGTCCAGTCTGAAAGAGAATCAAGGCACGAACTCTACGAAGAATGCAACAATAAAGCATAGAAACAGGAAAAGTTAGGGATAATGGAACCTTTTGAAATCCGTATGACACGGAAGATTAGGAGAACAGAGAAGAGAAACGTTCGAAATTTTAAGAGATCAAAGTATGACAGTGGAAATAATTACCTAACGATTCATATGAAAATAACGCATCGCAATATGTAGAAACAAGTATACAAAAAAGAAAAAAAAAATGTAGAATATTTTGCATTATAATATGTATGTAAGTAGCTTCTAATAAATATGGACCGTTTTGCACTGTGTAATTTTTAATCAGGATGTTATACATTTGCAAGTTTCCTAGTCAAAGTTCTTCATTTTACAGTAATCACATTTTTACACATTTTACACATGGAAAATATATAGATGACATAACAACGAATATTTTTATATAGACGAATAGCGTCTCCGAAGTCGGGTACGTATCGTATCGAGACCTAATACGCTGACCTACGAATATTTAAAATTAGAATTATTTAATTAGATAAATAATTAAGAATTACTGCAATACCTTCAACAGACCAATCTGTTCCTTTTTGCTTATATTATATACCGGGAGTGACATTATCTGTTCACTATCCTCTAATGCATAGTCCCTTATATTAAAATTAGCGTACCTATATACCGCGATCTTTTCTTTCAATTCATACTTCTCTTTTATAGATAATATTTTCGTAAAATATTTTCTTGTTTGTCTTACCCGATTTCCAAACATTCTTTAATATCAGTCTCCTCAGGAAGCGGTTCACAGACGAGAATAAACTTTATGTTAGGATTAGCAAGACCATCTAGCATCGCGCGTAGGATATTATTTTGCAACGGATACTTTTCTTCATTTACTTGAAACTCTGCGAACAATATTTCTTCAGTCTCAAATTTTTCTAATAATAAATGAAGAAAAGAAAAAGAAAAAAAAAGATGAGATGACTATCTTACTTCTTCTAAAATTGTATATTAACTTCTGGTTTGGTGGTCGTGGTTTCCTCACTGAAATTGTTTCCATGTCAGCTCCGCAATAACCCAGGAAACAATATTCAATGTAAAATAACTGATATTCTGGAGTCTGCATCACCGAGCTTTTCGGGAATAAAATCAAATTCAAGATCTCTATAATTATCGTGTCCTTCTCGAGCAACTATAACCAGTATTTTATAGATTTCCGTTAACTTCTGTAGCTTTTGTGAAAAGAGATAGAAAAAAAGATAAAATATTATGATTCGTACTTGGTTGTTCGCAGAGACTTTAGAATCATACGATGCATCGTTTGCATCGATGTCTGAAATTTATTCTTGTAAATAATTCTAATCTATGTACATTTTATATAAATATTGGAATAATCTTGCTCGAATGTTAATTTCTATACATGCCCTCAAAAGTGCCCATACTTCGCTCCTTGTATTCCCGCCATTTTTTATCCGAGATCACATTGGTTACTTCATCTATCGACTCGACCGATTTTGCTTGATCATTCTGAATATATTTGTAAGATCAAAATTAAGGACTGCCAGAGAAACAGATAGGTGATTTTTTTTTAATCTTACGTTTGACAAGAAGTCTTTAAATGCGATCATACTTGGTGTTTCTATTTCAGATTCTCTGTCTCTCTCCGAATCCTCTATTGGCTTTTTCTCTCTGTTCAAAATTGCGACTTTAAATCTATTTACTTCTTACTTAAAAATACAATACCTTTCATGGACCTTATATTCTATGATATCAGGAGCGTCATCCCATTTAATTGTGCGAAGATGTTCCTCTTCAGATTGCTTCGAAGGCAAAAATGAAGTTTCAGGCTCCTCTTCGCTCTTTTTTATCACGGTCAAAGGAGTCTCGTCAGTTTGAGTTACAGTCAAATCGATGTCAACAGAATTTTCACCTAAATATAATATGCGATCAATTGCATAAGAAACGTTATAGAATCTACTTTTTTACTCTGTACTTGAATCATCCATGAAAATGTCTATCTCGTTTGTCAAAGAGATCGAATTTTCATCATTGGATTCATTTTTCAATACTATCAAATCGTTTTTTGGTGGAATAATATCCTTTGTTTTCAGCGTTTTCTGAGATGGTTCTGACATTATTCCCCGTTTTCTCTTGAATGCATCTACTTGCTCGATATCACAGCTTAGTCTGACCCATAAAGACAATTGACCAAAATTTATCCCAACCGAGCAAGGGATTATACTATTCACGGGAGTGATATAATGAAGTTTATTTTGCGGATAGTCCAATATATCCTTAATGCAAAGTTTCCCTTTGGCTACTGCATAGTTATCACTCTTGTTGCGAAACACGTTTACTTGGAAAGTCACGAACTCGAGGAGAATATTACTGAAGAAGGAAAATAGATCTGGAATGCGATAGACGAACGACGAATTGTAGTTCAATTTGGGATATTTGAGCACGGGCGTGTAGGCTGTCTCTTGGTTCCAAATGTTCCAACTCACGAATAATTGCACGTTATTAATGTCCTTCTCTCGGAAAAGAATTTGTTTAGCCTGATATAATGTATAATAACTTTTCCATAAAATTATTTATGAATTATCGTATTTCGTATTGACAAATTCATTTGCTACTAACGGATGTGGAAATTTGCAAAGACACGATATGAAGTTCCATTAAACCCTGACCATCTGCGATCACTAATGGAAACAAATCAGAAGGAGAAATCGAAGTATCGGCGCAATCGTTTGGACAATCGGCACTGCAAAAAGATTCTACTTTTTTCGTTTCGGATTTAGATTCTTTGTGCATAAGATGACATCCAGTTAAGTCTGCAATTTGCATGTGCTTCACTATTTCATTCACCTAAATAAATATATTGTACGAGTTTTATCCTCTGTTAAAAGTTTATCAATTTCAGTAAAATTTTAATTAAATTGCAATTCTTACTGGTATTCCACTCACGACTTCTCTGCATTTATCTAGATGCTTGATATACTCTTGTAATGATTCACTGGCATTGGAAGTCGGATCATTTTCGATCTGTGGAGTCTCATGCGTTTCTCGGGATTTGTCGTCCTGCAACTGACTTCAAAGAAAGAGACATGAGTTTCGCGAAACGATCGAAGTTATTGAAGTTCGTTACCAAGAAATCTTCATTATGCCATAAGATCTTGCTGGCTTAGAGGGCTGGCTTGTAGAACTGATTACATGGTTTTTGAAAGATGTCTTCGAATTGGTTATGCCATATTTGTTCATTGTTGACCGTGCTTCGTAATTTTCGTGCTTTTCTGAATTATTAAAGTAGCATGTAAGTGATTTCGCAGAATTATAGCAACATTGATCACAGTGTGTATCTGTATTGCAGTTCATTAAATTGTTACAAGTGTAATTGTTGTTATCAGAGATTTTGATGAGCCGTTTTTTCATACTATGGCATGATTTTCTCTTTAATTTTTCTTGTTTATCATAAGGGCTTGTGCAATATTTCCGAGTGCTACAACCAGGTCGAATTGGTCTAGTTGCAACTTGGTTTAATGTCATTTCATTATTATTGATGTCTTTCACGAATTGATGTTTTATGAATGGAGTTGGCCGATATAGGGTGGTGGCTTCATGAAGTGTCGCACATGCCGTAGAATACTCTTGAAGAATATCAAACAATGTGGATAATATTGTATTAGGATCCATCGATTGAGAAGCAATATGTTTTTTCTGTTGCTGGGTTGCACCAAGTTGAAAAGGTGAGCTTTCATGAATTCCTTGTATAAATGTCTCTGTACCACTGTAACATATCGTGGAGGATAATATCTGAAGATAACGTATCGCTAATATAAAAGTTTTAATTACGAAGGTATAAGAAGAAACTTTAATGTGAAAGCAATACTTTATTTACCGCAAACCTTATTTTATTAAAATATAATTGGATACCATTGTTTGAATAAATAGAATCCTAAAGAATTTGGAAGCTTCAAAATTTTGTTGCGTCACAATTATTATTGACTGATCATTCGGAAGAATGTTAAAATTAGTCAAAGCTTCCAATTTTAACGAATAGAACATTGAAATATTTTGAATCCCTAAACTCTGTCTATTCTATCTCAACTAAAATCAAATCGACATCGATATACATATATGTATATAAATACAATATTAAAATAGCGCGAATAATCGAACAGTCTTTGTCAGCAATCACCGAAGAGCAGTTTCTCAAGAGAGACAACTTGCCTGTGGCTCTGTTTCTGATCCGTTACGCCACTGTAGTCGACACCGATAGCCATATGTTTCTGATTATATCTCGTTGCGTCCGTAGATGTGCTTATCTGTGCTCGTTCCAGAAGCTTCAACATTTTATCTGGAGTCAAATAGTTCTCTATAGGCTCCGTACTTTCCGTTGCAATCTGCGATTCTTCCACTTTCGATTTTTCTTTGACAGATGTTACAATTTCCTGATCTTTGATACCTACGGTAGGTGCTGTCTGCACTGATTTATCCATCAATTTAATAGATATTTGGGTTGTATCTTTAACGTCTGTAGCTGATTTGCAACATATTTTGCATCTCTCTTCTTTCCTAGCGATATCCAGTTCAAAAATCTTTTCAAGTGCTTCGTAATATTTGCTACATTTATCCATTTGAATATCTTTGTGTGATTCGTGTCTGTCAACTGTGATTGGTATCTTCATGTCGGCTTGTTTTGTCGATATTTGTGTAATCTTTGTCATTTCCTGTTTCTCCGTTTGTGTCTGAAAAAACTGAAAAAATGTGTTTGTTACTTTTATTGATTCTCTAAATTCATATAAAATGTTATCATTAACGTGATAAAAATTTTAATACCATGTAGAATTTTAATATCGATTTTAATATCAGTGACAAATTTATTCAGTTGAATATTGAAAAAAAGACACTTACTTAGTTAAAGAAGCAAACATCTGAATTGAAAGTTAGAAGAAAAAAAATTACGCACTGACCGTTAACTGTACCGTTAAAGAGTCTATGTTCTTCTGCAGTTCTTCGATTTTCCCGAGTAACTGTTCATTTGATATTTGCAGCGCCACGATATTAGACTGTTCGATGTTAAAAGCGTGTTTCAAAGTTTCTTGATCGCGAAGCTGCTCGGTGACTTTCTTCTTCAGCTCCTTGTTCTCTAACTCGACTTCGCCATATTTGGAACTGAGGTCAATGAGTTCGTTGTTGTGTTGTTGCAGTATCTTCATCTCATTTGCCAAGTCCTTTATCTGCTCATCCTTTTCCCGCAGCGAGAGTTGAGAATCCTTCACCTTTAACATCTGCTCCTCGACCTCTTCTGTTCGTTTCCTTTCTGCTAAGAGCTCCGTCGTAATTGTTCCGTTGTTCCTAATGCATATTTATAACTCTCGTTGCATTCTACTTGTAGACAATGCATTTACATTTAATACTTTAACATTTATAAGTACTTGTGAGGTAAAATTTATTTATAAAAAAAAAGTAAAGGTCTAAGGAGATGAAGCTTAATTACGCGTGCAACCTGCGTTTAAGAACTTACAAGTTGTTCCATGCATAAAACAGAAGAAAAAAGAAAGGAAAGGATAATAGTGCGATCGGTGGAACGCAGTTAGTGAAGTATTGCTTAGAAACATCGTCGTGCATGAGCAAAGAGACGTCAAGCGTACTTCGTCTGCTCCTCGAGTTTCCTCTTTAGATCGTTGATTTCCACATTCAACGACTCGTTCTCGTTCTCAGTAGCTATTAATTTATCGTTCACTTGCTTCATTTGTCGCCAGACCTTTATGTACTCGACGTTCTCCGCGACTTTCTCCCTCTGGTTTACGACTGTATGAGTAGACAATTCTTTCTCCAACTGAATTATCCGATTAGACATTTCTTCGTTCTGCGCTTCCAATTCCTTCCCGATAAATACACAATTTTCAAGATAAATTTAATAAATATACACGGTACTCGATTATTTTTTAATTACTTTAAACAAAAACGATGTATATAACGGAAGAAACTTATTGATTGATTGTTATTACCTCGATTTTATCAAGATTGCGTCGCGCATTGTCACCATTCTCAATACACTGACAACATGGTATCTTGGTGCGGCTGTTTTCGCTTCGACATGTTCTAACATAAGAATATCGATTTAATCGAGTGAATCATAGATCGTTTCGGACCGCTTGTAATACGACGTTATGTTACTTACATGCGGCCGGATGACGGTCTTGTTTGAGCATTACGACTTCTCGATGATGATCTACCAGCTATCGTGTGACTCAGTAGTTGATTTCTCAGCACCGAGATTTTATCTTTCAGCTGGAAAATCGATTGCAACACTATCGTATTAGCTGTAGCAATTGTCTGCTTGATAATTTATCTATTTTCAATTCGTATAGCTTTCAACGAAGTATTCAGAAACAATTTACTGCTTATTCCTTTTTTTTTACCGAATTTAAAAATTTTCAATTAAAATTCAAGAACTTTTTTTTTTTTTTGCGAAAAAAGAAAATTTAACTCTCACCTTGGAGTTTTCAAGTTCAAGAGCGATTATCCTATTCTTGTCTTCGTAGACGTCTAACGCAACCGTACAAGGCCTTAAATTGGCAGTTACTCTCATCAGTTTCGTTGTCAACCGTTTGATCTTATCCTCTTGACAGTTTGTCAATTTCTTTAAATTATTTGCTTCATCGAGCAATCGTAAATACCTATCTTCCAATTCGTAACGATCGAGTTTAAGCACAATGTATCGTTCCCTGGGATCTTTAATTTGTTTAAAGTAAAAATCATAAATTAAACGAAAAAAAAAATCATTATCTCATTATTCAAAAAAACAATATTTCTGATAGATACGAACCTATACTACTACGACAGGAATCTGCACAAGAACCTTCTCTCACAGGTAAAATGTCACGATTTGGATCGTCCGCCATAATTTCAAAATTCCCCTATGTGTATCATCTAAAAACTATGACGAAATGAGTTATTAATCCAATATAAATTCGAATATTTAAATATCTGAAGTACAATGATCGCATAAGTTAAATTATACAAATGTTTGAATTTAAAAATTGAAACAGCCATATTGCTCTACAAGTTCGTATGATTCGAATGCGAATGCGCATTATCTTGTACTTCAAATATGAAGTCTTTTATTTCTTGTTCTCAGATGCGTTCAAATTTTGGCGGGTAAATAGACATATCCGGCGGTGATCATTCGATAAAGAGATATTCATATCTCCTTGACAAGGTATTTTACTCTAGCAAATAGAAATATCTTGATAAAATGTTTGATAAAATCGGCTTTTACCGAAATTACATCTACCTCGAATTGTGTGTAACAGAACACGAATGCTGTTGGAAGGTTATGCTCGTCAAGGTTCGTTGAACACAGTGGTTGTCTTTAAAGCGAATTTCAGTCATTCGCTTTATATCCTCGTTTCTGTTTTGTTATAGATTTTATTCTCAATATTCTTCAAAGGAAAAGCCGCGCTAAATAAATTATTAGATATTTTAACCATAAAATCAAATGTATATCACCTTCATAAACAATCACGGTGTATCTACATAAATACACAATTTTATAAGATCACGGTACGAAAAAATATTTAAAACCAATTTTATAAAAATTATAAAATTTCAACGAAAAAGATTACATGTATTTCATATACCTGTAGCATTTGTAAAAGCAGATACGATAATTGAATTATTTGGCTGGTATATGTATGTCGACGTATGTGTATTTAAAATACGTGTCTCGTTGGGATGCATGAAAATATAGGAAAATATGTGTCATAGAGTTGATTAAGAGTAGAGAGATACGTATCCCCTTTGTGATGCGTCACCGGGTATATGGGGCAGTGCTTCGATACGCCGGTACAACCTGCACTACACTAACCTTGGTTTGACATCGCCGGAGTGTGCGTGCCAGTGGAAAGGTAAGATGGCGGCGGATGGGGATGTGATTCCTGATCAAGAAAAAGTACGAATAGTTTCGGACTTTATACTGCACTCACCACCGGGCGAATTCAACGAGGTTTTTAATGATGTGAGAGTCTTGTTGAACAACGACAACCTGTTGAAGGAGGGTGCGTCCGGGGCATTTGCTCAGTACAACAAGGATCAGCTCACGCCTGTTAAGGTACATCATCGACCTCTCTGTGATGAACTTTTACAATTTTTTATGATAGTATCTGGGGTATCGTTCAGTATCTGTAGTAATCGAAGATCACACTATCTCAGGGAAATGTGGGATCGAATTTCAACGACTAGTAACATTCCTAATCGAGCAGCACGCGTCCGGAATTTCGACAGGTGACGTTGACTTTATAGTGAAATTGGAGCGCGATAATGTTCACCTGGCTGATGTGATTGTTTACCTAATGTATCAGTACCTTGAATCGGTACACAGCAGTTGCTATGTGAAAACATTTGTGAAATTCCGATCGAAATCGTATGCAGCAGTAGGGTTAATTATAGTTACATTTTGTGCTCATTTTAATAGAAAATATTTAAGATTGATCTATAATAATTTCTACTTCAGTTTTCGTATCGTTTTGCAATTTGGAAGTAATTTCTATTTTATAATTCTATCAGTTCGATTCGGTTGAATTAAGGTTAGATATTAATTTATTCATAAGTGTATTGTACGATAAAAAATTTTCAATTTGAAAGTGAAGCTTGTGTTATGTTAGTTAATTTGTTCCTATCTTTGACTCCAGATTGAAGGAAGCGAATATCCTGCTCTTATAACAGAACACAATGATTTAGGTGGGCAAAGGTTTTACGATGCTCGCAGCAAGCAAAGTTTTAAATATGACCATCTTAGAAAGGAAGCACAGGATTACGAACCATACGAACCAGATTCTGTGGCTGAACCATGGAGATCAGCTCTTCAAGATGAAATAACAACTTATACTCAAAGTCATTATAGACATGGTGCATGTTCAGTTTTTGGAAAGAGTCAAGGAGGTACTGTTATTTTCTTAAATTTGATAAAACCTGGATTGTTCGAAAATGACAGATATGAACAAAAAATGGTATATTCATTTATTAGGTAACATTACCTTAACGGCTTGCATAGAAGATCATCAGTTTCAACCTAAAAATTTTTGGAATGGCCGTTGGCGTTCTGTATGGACTGTTAGTTTTAGTCCAAGTTCTGGAAATGCGGAACTAAGAGGTAGCCTTAAAGTACAAGTTCATTACTATGAAGATGGAAATGTACAACTGGTCAGTAGCAAAGAAGTAAAAGAAAGCTTACCAATTTCAAATGAGAAACAAACAGCAAAGGAATTAATACGACTTGTTGAGGAATCAGAAAATGATTATCAAACTGCTATATCAGAAAATTATCAAACAATGTCTGATACAACCTTTAAGGCCTTACGAAGGCAATTACCTGTTATGCGAACGAAAATTGACTGGAACAAAATTGTATCGTACAGTATTGGCAAAGAGCTTAAAAGTCAATAGAAATAGATTTTTTATATAATATTAAGAGAAATAATTAAAAAGCGCATTTTGCTGCATGGGTGAAGTCTGGAGGTGTGATGTGCATGGGAGCAAATGTAACAATGCTACATGAAATTTGGTTAAACATGTTTTGACTGAAACTCATGCATGCCACTCAAGGTTCCTCTGGACCCCTTAATGTATCTTGTTACCAACAAAAATAATAAAAAGAAACATTACTGTAGCCATCGACTTTTTAAAAGAAAAAAGGAAAATAATAGATATTTTATCTGCAATATTTTTTTTTACCAAGTTTTTTAAATTCTATATTGACAATTTCTAACTGCATAAAAAATATTTTTGCTACCTTATATTTTATTTCTAATGAATTTTATTAGCAAATGTTTTGATATAATACTAAGTTCATACATAACAAGACTTATATATTGTTTATAAACACTCGTCTTTACGATTAAAACGTCCATTATATTACAATATTTAAAACAATATTGATTTTTATATTAATCTATATGTTATAGATGGGTGTTTGTTTATAAATTTATTAGTATTTAATAATCTACACTCTTGGGGTAACGGGGATCCTTGATCTTACTTTTTGTAAGCATTTTAATTGGAATTATATTTGGTAAATCAAACCATATAAAATTTGTAATTGATAGCTAAAATCAAACAAACATAAAATTTGGAGTGGAATATTGGAATTCGTTAATGCATTTATTAAGTACATTCAAATTGTATCAATCAGATAGTAATCTTGTGCAATAATTATGTTTCAGTATGAACATCTTTGATGAACTGGATTTACTGAATTATTTGTTGTAATTAACTATGGATTATTGTCTTATTGATAATTTGGATGAATAGATAATTCTACTCCGCAAACTTTGTAAAATTTATAGTTTATAATCTGAAGTTGAAGTTTAATATTAAAAGATTGAACACATCCATTTTAACTTTATATTGATATCATAATGTTAATAGTCAACATTACAAAGTATAAGTATTGCACAGTGGGGAAGAAATTGCTGTCTAACATGTGCATGTTCGGTCAGCCTAATGAAACCATCGAGTTAAAATACTTGAATCAGTGGTAATTAAAATTTCAATTCATTAGTTGCACAATAATACAATTTTTTTTAACACTTAAGTCTTTAAACACTTAAAAAGCACAATGACACGTTTAATATATCTTTAAATGAATATTATCATACTGGTTTCATGCTATGTACAAATATAATAGCATGCTGGGGCCACAAGTGATGTCAAAATATACAATATCAAACTGAATAGATATGTCTATCATCATAATCTGGTACAGAATGCCATTAAGTGTTCACAGCATTCAATACACAAAGGAAATTTTCATTCATTAGAAATATTGGTGGGCAAGGCCTACTATTTTTGTCCAATTTTATATTTCATAAAGTATAAATTTATACATTTTTGTTAAGATGTATTGTTTTATGATAAGTATGTCTATTATGGCAAATACGTTGCAAAGTTTAATAATACTGAATAAAATAAATGTTAATCATTGCAACTTGATTTCTGTGTTAATCATATTGTAGTTATATGAATCATTTGTATCAAATAATGATGTTGAAAAATCTTTTGGTGCTATCGCTTACCACACATTACACAACCAGACATGTATGCGAAAACGGAAACTAACAAAGTACATAATGCATTGTACATTGTAGAATGTAGCCTATAGCCTGCTGGAGCCTTAATCTGTTCACTTTATGTTGAGGGGGTATTATGTACATATGTTATTTGAATGAATGAATGCGATGAAGCACACTACCATTTGACTTTTCAAACTTTAGGATTCGAAACATGTTTGTAATATTATTCATATTTTGTAAGTTACATCGTAATTCAAAATATTTTATTTAATCATGTTATTTGATAATTTTGAGAAAATCTTTGGATGAAATACATACATAACAACTTAAATATAAGATCATAAAATCATTTGATCAGTTGTGAAGGGGAAGTTAAAAGAAATGTGCAGAGATATAATACAAAAAAGTCTAGTATACTAAATATTGCAATAATAAAATTTTATATGTAAATATGATGATACATATAATTTAAACATTGTAATTTGTGTTACGTATGTAAATTACAAATGAAGTGTTGAAGTTTCGAATCTTATCAAACTTTACAGAAAATAGTTGCCTATAATACTAAAATTAGGTATTACCTACAATCGAATGTACCGTAAAATAAGAAACGCATGTCCTTATGTAAAAACTTAAACACAGAATACATTTATTAGTTAAATTATGTATTATTAAATGTTATGATTGATTAAATAAAGTGATATGACACTTTATACTTTGACTATCAACTTAAACATTCAGTTGAAAAAAAAATTTATTTTATTTTATATGTACATTGCTGTAATTGGTACTTAACATCGACAAAGTTCAAATGTTGGTTATTGTTGATGTTAAACATATTGTATCATCAATATTTATCATATGTTAATAAATGTAGGTAATGCAACTATGGAATTATTGGAGGTTAAAAAAAAACACTTAAAGAATGTATTATATAAACTTTATTTTCAAATTTTATATAACGTAAATAACTAATTATGATAAATAAATGCATATAGAAATATGCACTATACTGTCATGAAAAAGTAACCTTAAGATTTCTTCATTAAAAAGATAAGAGAAAAAATATATAATATAAAATACTATATGTAAATTAATTAATTTTTGATGTTATTTTGTTACAATTTGTGGAGGTAACTTTAAAAAGCTTTTATTATTGCTCAATGTAAACAATCATAGTGCACATGTGCTGTTGTGCATTGTTTTGAAAAAGTACTTTTAATCTTAACTATGCAATTTCAATGTTTAAGTGCTTACCTTGATTTCACCTATGACAAAGTTTTGAAACACTAGTACAAACATTACAGGATAATTATCTGTTCACATATTAATAGACAATCTGTAAAACAATTTCACAAATTTTAACATTCACAGCCATATTTGTTTACAAGGCAATCGTTGCTAACGTGCTAAGAATCGTTGGTGGTCACGAGGTACTGTCACGTGACTATTGACTCGATTGTAAAGTAACTTGTGTGTTAAGTGTTTGTACGCAGGTTGAATAAATTTTTTGCTTAAACAAATTATTATCAATTCACTATTAATTAAACTGTGATACTTTTTTTCACAATGACTTTAATGCCAAAGGAATCTGCAAAAATGATAGATTTTTGCTCTAAGAATGTTTCCATTGAAGAAGAAGGAATCAAAAACCTTGCCTACATGGTAAATAATTTTTTACTGTTCAAATTTTTTAAATGAATTTGTCGTAATATGTGTAAAAAATTAATTGTAATTGTAAAATTATATCATAATTGTTATTTAAGCTTTTTGGTTATATTTTTTCAATTCACTAAAAAAATGAGGATTTAAAGGATTTGAAAATATAATGTCATAAATGAATCAATCAATATTCATTTTTTTTACAGATTTTTAAAGCCCTTAATGATCGCAAAATAAGTGTGAACAACTTTTCACAGTGTGAATTTCATCCTTCTTTTGAAGATCCAAAAGCAGTCGATTGGATATTCGTTTTGGACACATTGAACTATTCTTTTTGGAATAAAACAAATTGTCCAAAGTGGACTGTTAATGGTCACACTGGTTATTTTGCCTTGTGTGCTGCTATTAAGAGAGCTGTAAATGTAAGTTAAAAACGAATAAAATTATAGATAAGTAATTTCAATTTAAGAAAGTGAAATTACAGGAAATTTAATTTTGGGAAGATCATCTATTTCTGTCGTATAAGATCTTTTCTTTATCTTTAATTGCTTGACATCTGCATTTTTCTTTTGGTTCAGAAATTATTGATTCTTCTACAGTTTCTGTTTTTGATGAAGGTATAGATTCAGGTAATGGCACCAATTCCAATTCCATGTCTGGCTCAATAACTTTCTTCTTTTTTACTTTTCTTTTTTTCTTTTCTTTTTTACTATTTTTGATAACTTTTTTAATTTCACGTACTTTCTTTTTCTCTAGCTTTGCTAATTTCTTTCTCTTTTTCAGTTCCTGTTTTAGTTTACCTTTATTTACAGCCTTTTCCTTACTTTTCTTTTTCTCCTTCTGAAGTGTTTTCTTTATCTGAAATGATATGTGTACTTATTAGATAAACCTTGATATCAAGGTTACTTATAGTTGATTATTTAATTTACACTTTTATTAAAAGACTGGAAATTTTCTTACTTTATCTTGTTTTATTGACTTTTCAACACTTTTCATGGTCGATGTTTCATCCTATAAGTAAAACTCATGTTTGTAATTGGAATGATTTTATATATCTCTAAATTACCATATAAAATACCTCATCATCATAGAAATATTTTTTACAACAAATTCGTTCTCTACTTCCAGGCAAGTGCCTAGCCAAATAACATCTTATGTACATCTTCACATCTTCAAAAAGTTCTAAAATAAAACATTAAATTTTATCGATTTAAGGATGTGAATTTTTATGAAATTCAGTAACACATACTTCTCATTCTTTTTGTTTCTCTATCCATCTTTTCTTTATATGCATCAATAAACTCTTTCCTTTGATCTTCTATACATTGCAATAGGAACTGCTCCTTTTCAATTTGTTTCTTCTGAAATTCTAGCCTTTCTTCCCATCTACACAGCATAAGAAGAACTTTTATTTTATAGTTATTTATTTCATGAATTTCACACATACTTGTGTTTTACAATTTTGTGTTTTTCTTCTTGTTCGTGCGCTAGTCGCATTTCCATCATCTTTTTCCGTATACGTTCCTTTTTCCTCCATTCCAATAGAACTTGATTTATCCTTTGTCGTCGAATGTTTACTGCTGCAATTTGTTTCTGCTGAATTGTTTCAGCTTTCTCTCTGCTTTTAATGTATTGCATTTGTTGTGCCTCTTTCTTCCTCTGAGCCAATGCCTGCAATCTTTCCTCTATTTTCTTTTGCTTCTCTTTCTGCCTCTGGAGTTTCATTTTCTCAGCCATTTTACTTTGCTTGATCGCAGATTTTCGTAACTCCATCAATCTTTCCCTTTCTTTCAATCTAACAAAACGTCGTTTTTGTACATGATCTCATTTTCAGACAATAGATATTATTTATAGTATATACACGTATACAGTCTAAGAGAACAATGACGCAAGAATATACTTATAAGTAAGTAAATTGTTATTATAGCACAACTAAAATTTTGTAATTGTGTCATTGTTCTTCGGGACCAACGATATCTACTCAATGATTACTTCTTCACTTCTTTTTCAGCCTGTTCTTGTGCATATAAAATCGCTCTTTCCTCAATGGATCGTTTCGTTATTCTGTTCAATTCCTTCTTAACACTGTCGCAATGTAACCTTCTTAGATACTGTCTATACGTATTGTAATCCTTTAGGGAACATTTTGCGTCTAGATCTTTAGTGATGAAACCAGACTTGATCAAATGTCGAATGATATTCGGTTTGGAGAAATGAGAAAGCAAATGTTTATCGTGAAGGGAGTCGTAAGTCCATTTTATCTCGTAACCATATGGATCGCTTAAATTAAATTCGGCATCGGGTGTGGAGATCCATAGTTCTTCCCCTAGTTTACGACGGGTGAAATTGTAAACGCCTTTAGGTCCAGGGACCATCGGGATTTTCGACTCTAACGGCATTACTTTCCATTTTGGTAGACCAAAATTTGGGACCGCGCCTTTTGGCTTAGGAATCGAATCGACGAGCTTATCCAGAGCCCTAATATTATACGCAAAAATTTCGATACAAATAAAAATTAAACAAGCAATAAGCTGCAGTAAGGGGGAACCTCCTCCTTCTACAAATAATTTCGGTAATCAGTTTAAATTAAATCATTTTCTCAAACGCGCACCAACTTTCTTAAGATGAGTCACCTATATCTTTCTTTTCCTTTTTAGAGCTGCCTCCTTATTGCTTCAATTTACATTATTCCAGAGTCACATGTACTCACGTAGGTCTTTTGAGACTGATCATGTCAGTCGAATATTGTTCGCACGTTGGGTTCATCTTATTTGTTGGAAAACAACGTTTCTGACTGGACGTATCCTCAGAAATTTAATAGTCAGTGTTATATTGCGGTGACATGGAATTTTGCGCGATATACACATGTAAAATGTCATTTTCTGTCGTTTTCCATATATACGCGTCTAGCTTCTTTTGTTCGCAAACCGTATGTCCTGATCGTTTTAAAAATACTTCGACGCTGATCCCCTTTGGACGCTGGTTACTTCGAAAGTATATGATTGTTGAAATAGATATATATATTTTTTTCCTTTTTTTTTTTTTTCAAATAATTTACTTCGAACAGGAGGGAAAACCCATAGTCGATCCCAAGTATTATTCTCAAATAACGAAATCCGATGCTGAGGATATTTTTCGTGGCGATACCGAAACTAGTATTCCGTTGTTAGACGAAAGAGTTAAGTCATTGAGAGAAACCGGGAAGGTTTTGTTAGAGAAGTATCAAGGTACTCGTTCCCTTTCTTCTCTGAATCTGGTGCAAAACTTTACTGACTTTTCCTGAAACAGAAATTCCATTTTCATTCCAGTTGTTCGAACTTTTCTTTGATAAGTTTTTTGATAAATTTTGAAACACAAGATTTTGAAGGATCTTGCGCGGCAGACTGTAAAGTTATACACTAGATTAATAAACTATTTTTCATACATATGATAAATCACATTTTAGAATTAAATATTCAATTAGAATTTGCAAAACATTCTATTACACGTTATACTGACTATTTTTCTTTCTTTCTAGGTACTTTCGTCAACTGTATTGAATCGTGTTCACGCTCAGCCGAAAAATTACTCAAACGTATCGTGAAGGATTTTGAGTCTTATCGAGATGAGGCAGACTATAGAATTCACAGAGGTAATACTACCATGTTAGTCTTATGAAAGAGAATGATTTAAAGAATAAATGCAATAACGCAGTGATTTTCTTTTTCAGTTAGCTTTTACAAGAGAGCTCAAATACTAATAGGCGATATTTGGGCCTGCTTCAAAGGACAGGGAATTGGTGAATTTGAAGATATAGATTGCATCACGATGTTCGCTGATTACCGTATTCCCCAAGTTTTGCTACACTTTGGTGCTATTCGTTATAACAATATTCTCCTGAGCAAGTTGCAGTCTGGTGAGTCTTTCATTCACTTTACAAATCAAATTGTTCGTCGCCATATTTTAGAAGTTTTTCAAATAATTTCATCTAGATGATTTGGTCAAGTCATTAAAGATAAATTCTTTTAAGTCTTTTACCTTTTTTAAATGTCGTTTCGATATCAGTACTCTGCGAATCACGATGTGAACAGAAAAGTCAGAATTGACAGTATCAAGTGGTAGGGTTTTTTCTATTAGAAAGCACGGTGTTTAATATTTGCAGATATAGAATTAGAAAACGGTAGCGAGGACGAGGTCGAAATTCGTGGTTGCTCTATAGAGGCTATCGAACGGATCAAGGATGAAGTGAGAGCTCTGATCGAGCGTTGCCCTAATCTAGCGTTAAAGAAATCAGATATTAACGCTATATTGATCGATCATTTTCTATGGGATTATCGGCGAGAACACGCCGACGAGTTAGAAAGTATACCGTTTCATAAAACTAGATGCATATATTACTGAGCATATCGTCTATTTCACGTGTCTGTCTGTCTCGCGTGTTGTAATCTTGTTTTATAATTCTTCAGCAGAGATAGTACATATTTTTCCGATTGTGTAAGCTATTGATATATCAACTTTACAGCCACGCAGACACTTATGTACGTACGCATATTCGAATAAAATATTCATCATATTTCAGAAGGTTTCTAAATAATTTCTTTTAGACAATTTCCGTGATTCTTTCCCGCTTCGACGATCCTCAGTCCGACCCTCTCAAAAATGAAAGAAACCTTTTTAGATGATAAACAATATATTTATGTAATATCGATATGTAGCACAGTATTTTAGTGTACAGATAATGTAAGGTTAAATTCATATAAATTTTGATGTTTTATTAAAATATGTTCGTTGCCCACCGGTTTTCATACTCATATATATATATACAAATACATGCTTAGATGTTAATAAATAATAAATAGCGATCTCGTACACATATATGGGAAGACTATACGGTAAATTTATATATAAAACATTGCGACTATAATTGCTTTTTATATACAGAGAACAATTTTAGTTAGTTCGACTATGTTCCGGCAACGTGTATTTACAACTAATCGCAGAACGATTGCAAACGTGTAAAATTTGTCTGTCCGTTTCATCGAATAGTCTTCGAAATATTTGCTATTACATTCAAATTATTTGCACATCTCGAAAGTCGTAAAATATTCTCTTTGGCTAGTCACAGGTTCGTATTATTTGGCACACACAATCACATCGACATTTCCTGCCGCGAATGCAATTGCTTTTGTAAATCGATCGATCGATCGTGAGCCTGTATTGTTTCATACAATTAATCGACTCATTCATTGAATGGTGTTGAAACATTCTTGAGTGTTGAGCAAAAAAAAAAAGATGTGACATAAACTTATTTCTTCTAACATCTCGATAAAATCCTAATTTATCGAAAATTCATAATTTCTATCGCTCTCTATGAAAAACAAGTTATTTGGATTCGTTATCTATTACGCTTTCTATTTGACACGTTAATTTAATTTGATCTCTAATTAATTTTCGACTTCTCTCTCTCTCTCTCTCTCTCTCTCTCTCTCTCTCTTTTATAAAACATTAGACCCAATTTTAAGCGAATAAATATGCTTTAACTTTTCTTCTGCATCTGTTCCCAAAATATTATATTCGACTTCAGTTTTCCAGGTAGAATTACGTTCGTGTCGTTGGACAAGTCGCTCTTTGCTTGCACTACTTCCATTTGGTTCTCCGTTATGTTTGGTTGCTCCATAACGACGTGACTAGCCGGAGGTGAGGTCACTTTGTTCGGAATTTGCCTCAGGCCTTCACGAAATTGTTTCGAAAGCGATCGGGCGGTCAGGCTATGCATCTGTCTCGGCGTTTCAACTATTTGGATCTCTGGCGTTGACGATCTCTCTTTAGTCACGTTGCTCGACTTAGTTACCTAGTAAGAAACAATGAAAATCATCTTCAGTTTATACAATGCGAACAGTTTATACAAAACGTAATTAAACCGTTTATCATCACTTCTAAAATTATCCGACGATCTGATATTCTATTTTAGGAGAAAGCAACTTGAAAAATCTTGGCATCCTTCTCTTAGAATTTCGTAATATACATTCTTTATATCGATTATTCAAGAATGGAGTCTTACCTTCGAAATAGGGGCAGAAACGGGCTCGGTCTGTTTGCTGAATGCTTCAGCGAGCCTCCTGACCGATGGCATCGGCAGCACCTTATTGTCAAATTCTTCGTCGCTCAAAATTTTCTTCTTGACGTCATTCATCGATCGACTCTGCTCCCTCTCCGAGGAGTTGTCCGTCTCGTTCTCCGAAACGTCGATCGACGAATCGTTGCTTTTAACATTGTACTTCTCCAAACCGTAATTACTCGCGATGTTCCTCACCGATCCGTTCTTTATCACACCGAAATCGTTGTACGAATTCCGGCCGTAGCTCTCCACCTCCTCGTCCTCTTGGCCGTTCGAATTCGAGTAGAACTTGGCGATGTTTGGCACCGATTTCGCGGACTTCAGTCCGAAATTGTTGTAGCTACCGTTTTCAAACTTATTCAAAGTTTCCGTACTCTGTGTCAAATTGTTCTCGCCGGAGGCACGATTGCTCTCGATGATGTCGCGGCGATCGTTCTCGTACTCGTTTCGCCGTGTTAAATTCGACTTGTTCGTTGTCCTGACAAATCTCGCTTTGAACTCGTCGCTCCCAATACTGTTCAGCTGAATGTTCGACTGTGTCCGACGTATTCCATTGTCGTAGCCGAAAGACTTCAGGTCCAGTTTATTGACGACCCTCGGCGCCGACGTTCTGGTCGTTTTGCCGGAGAAGAATTCATTTTCGAATCCGTAGGCCTTCAAGTCGATCCTCTTGATCTTTCGCGGATTGTCATCCACGGGATTGGTGGACTTTCTCGTTTCCATCACGTTCAGTTTCGCGTTGATCTCGTTCTTGCTGTTTTTCCTCTCGTTCTCCAGAATTTCCTCCATTCGTTGATCCTCCCACGACTTTTGGCGCTCGATCATCGCGAACTTGTCCCTGTCTTTCTCCGTCTCGTCCGAGGAGTCGCTCTGTTGTCGAACAACGGGCTGTTGATAGTTGTTCTCCACGTTGTTATTCTGCCATTTCGTCACCTTGGACTTCACGTCGTTGCTCCGATTCAAGATTGTCTCCGTTTCTTCGTACTGTGTTTCCTCCTGGAACAGAAAGCGATTCCATTGAATTCAAGGATCCAACGTTGGATCTTTGCGTTTTTTAGTTCACAAAAGAAAAAACATTTCGACGCGCTTTTGCAACTGTTAGTGACGTTTTTCTTTTTTTTTTTTTTTCTACATCTAGAGTTAGTTCGATGCAAGCCTCGCCGCGTAGCCATGCATGTTACGCCTCCAACAAGTTTCATCGAGATAACTCGAGCAGCATGTTAGTTACGCTCAAACCACCTTTTAATCAGCAGAGAAGAATGACACCAAAGATTTTTACGTTCATTTTGGCGTTCGTTTCTCTCTCTCTCTTTTTTCCACTCGATGTGTTTCAAGAGAGATTTCTTCTGTCGACCACAGAGCATGCAGGCCCTCACGGTTTGTTAGTTAGACATGCATTGAATTGGAAATGCATGTAAACGGTACTTACCGATTGAGAAAAGGCATTTTTTTCACAGCGATCATGCATGTGCAGTGTGCATAGAACGACTTCGTATTAACAGAATGGTTTCATTAACATATTTTATTCGTATTATTCTTTAAGCGGACTTTCTTACGATCTAGCTGTAGATTATGTACAAGAGAGAACAATCGTTTCATACTGTACAACGATCCGATACATTGTTACATGCGAGAGAAAGAAGTCGAGAAAGTTTCGTCTACAGTGTTTACTCACAGACGTACTAACTGTTTCTTAACTATTACACCACAATTACTCGAAGCTATTACGAGTCTTACGACCGTGTTAAAACTAATAAAGATAGTAATGATAAACTAATTTGTTATGCGAGATTTGAACTGTATGAATAAAGGCCTACCACCGTGTGTCATGCACAACTTCAGGTAAAGTCACACGTCTCATCGTTCGTTACATCGTTCGTTACATCAGGAACCAATATATTTAAGACAGTTATACAATATACACTCCTTTGTACAATAAACTTTATAAAATTAGAGGAAAAGGTAAAATTCGCATCTTTGATTCGTTTTTTTTTTTTTTTTTTTTTTTTGGGCTCGTTTATCGAGGAACTTTCGTGTTAACAATATGGCACTGCGTTCGACAAAACAAAAGAACAAACTTCGTTTGTATAAAAAATGCAAACTTCTACACCGTGTACCGAAAGACCTTAGAAAGAGGATTTAATTAACTAGAAAGAGGAAATTAATTAACTAACTACTTTTCACCATATCGTCAGATCGGTCAAACTTCTCACACCGATCTTCTTTCGTTCGCTCGACTCGGAACTTTCGCGCTTCTTCTTCTTCTTCCCTTTGCCACGAATATCTCGCAACGTTTCGAAAGTTTTCTCCACGACCTCCGGCACGATAGGCGGCTCCAACTTCAGACTTTCGTTATTGTCCGAGGATCGTTTCTGACATCTGCCTCGTCTCAGGCTATCGTCGAACACCTTCCTTCTGGACGTGTTCAAAAAGTAATTGGGATCGTTGTCGGAGTTCCAGCGCGACTTGACTTTCCTCGACGACGTGTCCCTCAGGAACTTTCGGACCGTCGTTTTGTCAGCCGATTGCGCGTCTTCGTCCTGCCAGGACTCGTCCGAGGACGACGATCGACGCGACAAACAACACACCGTCTTCGTTTGTCTTTTGTATAACTTGTTACTGCATTTCCTTTTCTTGTTTACGTCGGGACACTTTCTCTTATCTTTCTCCTCGGTGCTGTCACTTTCGCAATCGCTCTGCCAATCGGACTGTCGATCCACATTCTCATCCGATCCACATTTGTACAAGACGGAATCGCTGTGCGACCATCTCATCCCCTTGGCCCTTTTATAACTCGATCTCGTCGTCAGTGTCACCCGCCTGTACATAGGAATCCCTTTCCCGTCGATCCTCTTGCTCTTCTTTATACCGCCGAACGTCTGGAACTTGAATTCACCGAAATCGACGACATCGAACGTCTCGTCTCGTGCTTCCATTTGTTTCAAGTTGTCTTCGTCGGAATCTTCTTCCATGTTCTCGCTGAAAGAATTCTTTATCCCTCCGAACGTGTGATACTTGCAACCATTTAGGGTCCAGTATCTCTTTCCATTGGACGACAGAATTTGATCGTTCCTCGTGCTCGATCGTTCATGATCGTCGTCGATCCACAACCTTCTCCAACGATCCTCGTCCTGCTTTTTATTATCCTCCGCGTGGTTCGTGTCGACGGAGAACGTTCCCGAGTCGTGATCCGATCTCTGATTTTTCTCGGGCTCGTAAAGCGGATTGTACGCGATCTTTCGTGACAGTTCGTTCGATGTGAGTTTGAGAATGTCATCGTTAGCTGGTAGTAGAGACTCAGTATCGTTGCGCCCGTTGATGTTAAAATATTCAGCTTCATTGCTATTATCTACGACTGCTCCGATTTGTTCTGTCACGTTCGCTGCACGCTCTACGCTGTCCGGAATATCGCTACGTAGAAACGTTTCGTTCGAGCGGTCAATCTTTTCGTGATCACGGTCAGATGGTCTCGTTGATACATCGAGCTCCATGAGCAGAAGAGGATTGATGGCAAATTGCGGGCTGGAGCACGGATCGCGATAGGTCCATCTAGAAATACTGCCGCGCAGGGAAGCCTCCTCGAACTTTTCGAGCTGGAAACTCACCTGTTGATCCTGGTCCGTTATCCCGTTGGAGCTTGATCGTTGGGACAACGAGCTGCTCGGTCTGCTCGAGCTCGACACCGCCGATCTTCTCCCCTTCTCGTTGCCTGACGATCTTGAATCGTTGATGTAGTAGTCCCTGCCGAACCTACGCAGTCCAACACGTTTACATGAAGTCTTTGAATTATTTTATTATATATTTATTTTTCTATAGGAGAATATCTACCTATCTATCTATGTATATATATATATATATATGGATATTTCTAGTATTAAATATATTTAAATATAGATATTTATAATATAGTTATGTATATATATAAATATTTATAGTATAGTTATGTATATATATAGATTTTTATAGTATTCAATATATTTAAATATAGATATTTATAATATAGTTATGTATATATATAGATATTTATAGTATTAAATATATTTAAATATAGATATTTATAGTATAGTTATATATATAAATATTTATAGTATTAAATATATTTAAATATAGATATTTATAATATAGTTATGTATATATATATAGATTTTTATAGTATTCAATATATTTAAATATAGATATTTAGAATATGCATATATATAGATATTTATAGTATTAAATATATTTAAATATAGATATTTCTAGTATAGTTTTATATATATAAATATTTTATATATATAAAATAAAAAAAATATTTTTATATATATTTAATAAATATTTTTATATATATAAATATTTCTATTTTTAAATATATTTAGATATAGATATTTATAGTATTAAATATATTTAAATATAGATGTTTATAGTACTAAATATAGATATTTATAGTAAAATTTCTAGATAGAATCGTGGATTAATTAACCTTTTGATGTCCGGTTCATGAGGTGTCAGCACAACATCCAAATCCGCTCCGTTGCTCTTCGGCAATTCGGTGTGAATTCTGAAAAAAAAAAAAAAAAAAATATTCATAGAAAATCACAGTGTTGGAAAATTCACGGAGCGCAGGGATTACTATAAATCATACCCGGGAATGTCTGACGATCTCCTCGAGTACTGCCTCTCCCATAGCCTCTTTTGGATGTTCTCCTGGCTGTAGGGATTGTTCTCGATAGGCGGCGCATTTTCCCACTTTCTGTGCTCGCGTTCGGCGATCGTACCTATTCGTTTCATTACACCGTGATGAGAGGATTGTTCAAATTGTTAGAACGCGCGATTCGTGCGTGAGTTTAATCACCTGGTCTCGGTGGGGTACCGAGTCGACCCTCTGCCTCCGGATCCTTGTCCTGCAGGGACAAATGCGACGCCGATTCAGCTTTGGCGAACGCCACAGCCTCTCGGCACTTGCTGCACAGTGGAATATTGAAAGTTTGTTACGATATCATCGGCAGGAAGAAACGGTTCTTTACGGTGTTTCGGCGGACCGCGAATTACGAACGCTGACGTTAGGGAACGAACCTGGCTACGATGCTTCTCGACGCGAAACAATCGAGAAATCTCGAATCTTTGCTCTATCAAATTTCCTTCACTTCAGACAAATCCGACTCTGCCTCTTTCGTTCGAATCGATGAGAGAAAGTATCAATTTTTGTTGTTGTTACAACCACAGTTGAAAATTTAATTAATCAATCACCTTTCGTTATTCTCCAAGGAGGAATTCGTCAGCGGCGTAGACTCCAACGATTCAGACTTCGTCAAGCTGTCCAAGTGCCTTTGTGTCGCGATGTCGTAATGCTCGGTGTATTCGCTTTCTTGCTGAATATCCTCGGCTGATTTCCACGAACAAAAACGAAATCAATTGCAATTATATATATATATATATATATATATATATATATATACACTTCCGTTCATAAGTCACCGGACACTTGGTTATTTTGATTTAAACAGTTACTAGAACACAGATATACTTTTCCGGATTAATTTTATTATACAATCTTGTTATATGTACTCTATTTACTCTATTTTATAATAATACTTGAAAACGAAATTGATATTTTACATATATGGTCTGAGTAAATATTTCAAAGTATATCAAAAATATGTATATATATTTAAAAAACCGAATCGATGTATTTTGGGATGAATTGGACAGAAGCCTTCAGAAATGTGTCCAAAATCAAGAAAAAGACTTATGGAAGAAATTAGAAGAAGCGTGGAAAGAAATTCATTCCGAAATATTGTTAAAATTAAACGGAAATGTGCCACGGTTATTTTTGGCCTTCATATTTGTACAAAGATAAAAGATACATTATATACAATTTGGTAAGATTTTTGACATATAAACAGTTTGACATATGTCATATTCTATATTCATGTAAGATTCTATAAATCTTTTGCTTCTGTCCAATTCATCCAAAAATACATCGATTCGATTTTTTAAATATATATACATATTTTTGATATACTTTGAAATATTTATTCACACTATATACGTAAAATATCAGTTTTGTTTTCAAGTATTATTATAAAATAGAGTAAATAGAGTACATATAACAAGAATGTATAATAAAATTAATTCGGAAAAATATATCTGTGTTCTATTTAGATCAAAATAAGCAAGTGTCCGGTGACTTATGAACGAGTGTGTATATACATATCACATAAACTTTCACAATAGATGACTGCATTGTTAAAGTATTTACCATGAAAATCAACCTTTTGTTGAGCAGACATCGTTTCCTCGTCTTCGAATACTTCCGCGATATCGTCATTGACGGCCATCAGCTTCTTTTTCGCGCATTCCAACGAGTTCAGAACGATCTTTTCCCGTGAGATGTACGTTTCCCCGTTGCGAGGGTTCTCCAGATTAATTTCCAGCATGGAAATCCTCGTTGGCGTGGGTGTCGGTGTCTTTGGCACGGCCAGCGCATCCTCATCAGACGCAATAACCGTGAAGCTCTTCGAATTCACTGAATTCGATAGATTCGTTTCCAGTTCGTTTCTCTTCGCTTCGTCGTTGATCGAATCCCTTTTATCTTCTTTGGATGGAAGATTCAAGTTCGTCGTTCGTCGCTCCATTTCAACCTTCGTCGAACCGTTGCCAATTAAATTTCGTGATTCTGGAACAGGTTTCTCGTTCTCAGTTTCGACTCTCTCCACTTTCCTTTCGACTTGCTCCTCCTCGATCTCTTCGTTTCTCTCTAGGCTTCGATTCTGTTTATAACCTTCTTCCTTCTCTTCCTTCAGTTTCCTCCAGTCAGTCTTTTCTTCGTTCCTTTCGTCATACACGCGCACACCGTTGCAAACTGAATTCACAGCATTTCCCTTCGACGAGAAGTCGAGGCCCGACGAATTCGAGTAGTCCAGACCATTTTCGAACTCCTTCTTCCTGGGCGATCGTGGCACGACGTTGTTTATGGCTTCCATTAACTCCTTCTCGATCTCCTCGTCGGACTGCGCCGACGAGCACTCGGACAAATCGGACGTGTCCTCCGCGTCTTTGTCGCCGATCAGAGCTTTGAAATCGGCGCTGGGATTAGGCACCAACATGGCCACGGGGTCAGCTCTCTGGGTTTGAATTCTCTTCTTTTGGAACAGCCAGTTCTCCTCCCAGGACTCGATCGGCGAGACTAAACCTATGTGCGTCCTTGGCGTGTCCGGCTCATCCTGACTGTCTGATTCTTGAGAGGCTGTGGTTAAGAAAAATTTGAGACATCCGAGTCGAGCTTCTCAACTCGTACTGCACCGAACGATCACTGTTTTTTTTGTTTTACTCATCATTCACACCAGGTTTCTGTATAGACACGCAATTTGAAATTATTCGATAAAACGCTGTTAGTAAGACTGAAATGCAACCAATGGAGGTACATCCAACGTAACGACGAACTGCGACACTTCTTTCTACAGCATCAGCAAGAAATATTGCACACTCCGAGAGAATTTTATTCGTGATCCAAATTCTGAAGGGAGGGGGAACGATCGTAGAAGTTTGAACAACGTACAAGCAATTACACAAGCGACGGAAGTTAGGTAAATGACACGTGGTACTCACGATCGATAATGTCCATTCCGAGTTCAGGAAACGGAACCCGATGGGCGTTCTTAATGGGCAAGACATCGTTTTCCCTGTGTTCCTCGTCGGATGCATAAGTCGTCGTCACCTCCTCTATCCGCTCCTCTATCTGGAACGTTCGAAATGCGTTGATAAATCGTAGCCAATGAATGAACATGGTTTATAAGTTCTCGTGTCATTTTAGTCTCTTTTTTCTTTCTTGTCGAGTGTCTGTTTCAAAGTAGGGCGTACGGTTCCACTTCCGTCGCTTATCATTCGCGAGTAACGCGCTTATCGACCACAAATTACCTACAGAATCTACAAACGTCGTCGTAAAAATTGCAACGCGAAACGCTTCGTTTTCCCTCCCATTCTGTTTTTCATATCGCGTACCTACAGAGTTAAAAATTTAAATATTATTTGCTCGATATTATTTCATTAATTTATTTAATATTACTACTATTGTATATCGTTCGAAATGATGTAACGCGCGGTCGACGTGATTTTTGTTGATTCATTCAAAATGAAATTGTGCGACTTCGAGCGATTTAGAAGGATTAAACGTGCGAGTTACAGCATCCATTTCCGCGGTACAGTTTTCGTCGTTTCTTTCGCAATGCTTCCGCCAAGGTTAGAAGCATAAAAGGATCGCCTACCGTGAGAGATAATGGCTCCGGTTGATTTCTAACGCGTCTCGAGCAGGACGCGCTGCAGTCGCTGCTGCAATCGTCCTGAGACAGCGGTTCCAAGCTGCTGCAGCCTTCCTCGACACCTTCGTCGAGGCCTGCCTCGCTCTCGCCTGAAACACAAAGTATGAAGGGCGAATTGCTTTCACACCCTCTCTCCCACATTTCGCTAACAACCTCTTGCGCTGGAACGATGTGCCACGCACGTCGAGAATTCTTTGTCCCAAAATTGCAATATCTCCGCAGTTTTAAGTATACTTGAGTGTAACACAGGCAAAACCAATAATAAATTCATTACTTCTCAATGATTTCTATCATACGAGTTCAAAAAGAAAGCGACGAATTATTGTATCGCGATTTGGTCACTCGTTATGGTCCGCAATCACCTTGCCAGCGCAATTGGTTAATCCTTTAATCGCGGAGCTAGCTTGCTCGAACGACGATTAAAAAGAAAAAAAAAAAAAAAAAATGACATTGAAAGACACGATTGTCACGTTTAAATCTACAGTGCGTCACTTTTAAAGTTCAAAGTTGTCTCTTGTTAAAAAGCGTTTCTTTTTGTGACGACGAGTTGACTCGTCGTACACGGTTAAAAGGCTTCCATCGTGAATCCGTCGATATTAATTTCACGAAAGTCGAATGTCAGTCTTCACAGTGGATTCGATCATTTTTTAACAAAATTGTTTCGTTTGCAATTGGTTTCTCAACATACTTAGCGCGCACTTAGTAGACACCGGTTTCCCTGGGAGAACGTTGCTATTGCCGTCCACCTGTTCCTTTTGGAATTTCTCGATGACCTAGAAAATCCAACGTTCGCTCATCGATTTATCCTCTCTCTCTCTCTCTCTCTCGCTCGATCCACGCGAGCGAGTGCCACGAATTCCGCGTATTGGAGTCCAAGCCCCTCTTGGAGAAAGAGAGAGAGAGAAAGAGAGAACGCTCTTTTTCTCTCTTTCTCTCAAGAGAGATCAGACTTTGAGGGAAGAAGTGAATAGTTTGCAACCTTGTTGAGTATCGCGGTGGCGAGTACGTCCTCGTAACTGTGCTCCGCGACGTTTCGCGCCTCTGGTGCCTTTCCGGTATCACCGGAACCACCGAGGCCCGGCAACTTCCTTGCTTCCTCCACGGCACGTTCCACGATCTCGCGCAGCGCCGTGTGCGCCATCGTCGGCGAATCGGTGCTCGGTTTGTCTGCAAATTTTCCCGAATTTCATTTCAAAAGTACTTTCTCCGACTGGTTTAATTAACTCTATTTAACATTTAGTCAATTTAGTCTCATCGATTAGTCTGATTAATCAACTAATTCCCTCTGATACCGTAAAGTTGCGTAAAGTTTGTTTCAGATGATTGCGTTTTAGGTTTCGATTCGTTCGTTTCTGTAAAAGTTGGTACAAGTGTTACGATAAGGAACAAAGTAAAGTAAAATTGGTGTAGATATCTGGAGGGGGGGAATCCGCGTTGGATGTAGCACTGTGTTTATTCTAGACAGAGATAAAGATACTTGTCTGTGTGAAATTTCCGAGACACGAAGATGTGGGACAGTTTGCGCGAAATTTCAGAGTTTTTGCGCGTTTACTCGGTATGTAATGCCTCCTGTAAACTTGTGAAAATGTCGTCTGAATATCTCGAATGACTCGAATTCCTGTCGGAGAGATATTTTTAAAAGTTTTCCCAGACGTTCCTCGTGTGAATCTATCCGTGTCTGAATGTGAGAAAAATGTATGAACGTTCGAGAAAAGCACATCTCGATTGGAGGAGAAATCTCATCGAAAAGGAAATAAATGACGCGAGAGGATCAACGAGCAAGAGAGAAAGAGGGAACAGGAAAAGAGCTCGTTGGTACGATGGCGTACTTTCATCGACGCGGCGGTAGCCATCGACGGTATTGATAATGGTTCGGAGCGATGAGCGTCTCGTTTGGCCGTGTACGAGCGACAAGCCAAGGTAATTTCACCAGCTCTCGGCCTTGTCAGCGATTCCTCATTCTTCTTTTGCCCGTTCGCGTGCGCGCGACCAAGAGAAATTCGACGGGGACGACCTGCTGAACTCTTTTCGCGGGAAACTTGGAGCTGCGACAGTCTCCGATGATTTACGCCGTGTTTGTTCAACCGGTTAGATAGTTGGAATTGGTCAAGTTAATAACTTGCTCGTTCCGTTAACAGATATCTTGCAGAAAGCATATTCTATCACAAAGAACTTACATATAACTCGTGTTATACATGCTCGAGGATTTTTAAAATTATACTGTCTGAAAAATTGAAAATTTGCATAGAGTCTAATACATAAATAAAGAAATAGTCATCTGTATATATCCTTTTCAGATTTTACCTATGCAATTATAATAAAATTAAATATTAGATTCATCTTATTATTTCATTACTGTGCCAAGCTAATGAAATTTCGCGTCATAAAAGGTATCTATAGTCTGAGTAATTTTCAAAGCTCTACGAGATATTGACGACTATGGATGTCGGAGAAATTTCGTTCGACTATTTACCTCCTTTACAGCCATCGAGTGGACGGTTCCTCAAGTACGTTTCAGTGATTCATCACCGCGATAATCCTCGATGAAACGCTTCAAATGGAGGATTGACAATGCGACGGGTTGTTCGTTAACTCCGCGATTAACGCACGACACTATTTAAGTTCCATTCGCGTTCGTTAAAGTCTAAGTTTAGCACCAACGCCGATTTGCATCAGTCCGCTCGAGTAGAAAGACTTTCTGCGACACGGAGTATTTCCGTGTATCAGACGCACAGATTCCGACGGCCGATGGGCTTTCTAACACTGATCTCTCGCTAGAAGGTGAAGGTCGCCTACATTTATTTCCTGCCTACTTAGCTATCATGCCGGTTCGCCCGACAATCTTCATTGGCTATTCATTAGCCGTGTCGTGGCGCAGGATCCTTCTTTCAATTAATCGAATCCTAGATTTTTCTCGTCACTCGGCCATCGTTCTGGAATCTCAACGATAAATACCTTTCCTTTCCTGATTTTTCTTTCCTTTTCTTTTTTTTTTCTTTTATTTCGTTTCTCGTCTTTTCATTGAATATTGAATATCGAGTATTAAATATTAATCGAATCCTGGATTTTTCTCATTACTCGGCCAAATATCTTTCCAATCCCAATATTTTTTCACTTTGTTAAATATTGAATATCGTGTTTAAAACATTAAAGCCGCAACAGACATTGTTTCTCCAGATTTTACGTTTACATGTTCATTTATGGTCGCTTCTTTCCCGAGTTATCGAATGTCGATCGCGTAACTTGCGTAACGAAATCGGGAAGTTGACAGAACGTGAAGTTGATTGATTTTATTGGCTGCCGAGAATTTGGCCTGATCGCCAACGAAGACCGCGAGAAGTTCCATTTTCTCGTCTATTATCCTTCGAAAACTCTTCTTCGTGTTCTTTCTACTTTCGATCGATCCGCTCGGAAACTGACGTAAACGGCCAGTCAGCTGTGGCATTAATAAAACTGTGATATGCACGTGAAAGAATATGCTGCCTTGGAAGAATGACGGTATCGATGATCGATTGTACGTTTCTTTTCTTCTTTTTTTTTTTTTTTTTTTCTTTTTTTTGTACGCGCTGCCGGTTCGCTTTTGTTTTTCCAAACTTTCTAATGGACGACGTGCCAGCGGGGAGGGGAAACGAAATCGCTTGGAACGCTTCATTTCTGATTTGTGAAACGCTCACGATCGATCGGCGAAATCGAGCCGCGATTCGAAAATACCCGCGAAATACTGTGCAGCGACGTTCTCTGACGTAACGAAATTACAGCGATTATTGTTCCGCACGGGGCGTAATCGCGATCGCAGAAAGGTTTCTCCCTGTGTCAAATTGACGTGCTATCGCGGCCGACCGAGGGAAATCGTGCCTCGCCGAGACGTTAATTTAATATTTCGTTAAACGATGACATCGAGGCGTGCTTCGATGACTTTGGACTTTGACGTTCGATTCTAATGTCGTGATCTGAGACATATCTTGCAAAGAAGAAGGGAGATTACGATAATTCCTTTCGAGATGAAGGTTACGAAGTTTCCTCCTTTTTTTTTTTTTTTTTTTTTTTTACCAGAGATCTTGGCGAGAATACATACGAATCGAGTTTTGCAAGTTGCACGAGAATAGTGAAAGGCTTGTAGTGTATAATGAAGCAGCTTCTGTATTTACAAATTGTTCAACGAATGATTTAGTCAACAATAATGCCACAGTCCGCTAAAAATTCTGGAAGGTGACTTGCAACAGTTGCAACTTCTTCAATTTCCTTACAGATTCGCGTTACGCGAGCGAATTATGAATATTCATGTAAATTCAGCCAATGAAATAGAATGTAGGCAAAGGTATAAATTATAATGAGCGCTTGACTTTGGACACTGTACGTTCGAAATATTGCATATTGAATAACTTTGACTCATCTTTCGATGAGTTTTAACATAAATGTGCAAACACTCGGATTCCCTTTGTAAAAAGTTGGAAATATTCTTCGGAATCTGAACGAAAAAAAAAAAAAAAAAAAAAACGAAGCTGATCTCGCCATCTTTCGTAACATACACTGAAAGATACCGTATAAAAAAATTCTTCTATCGCGCAACGTTCCGAATCGCACGACGTTTCTTAAATCTAAATCACGTTCGGCCTCGTGGTTGCGTGGGATTATTAAACGTGGGATTATTAAACACTCGATAAAACTAACGAGTGAAAAGAAAAAAAGTGATTCGACGTGCATGAGAGAAATGGAAGAATTGTACGTACGTACGATTCCTCTGGCGATGATTCGTGATAATATACACGTGTTATCGCGGTGCCTTGGAATCGATCATAATCGAATCGGTGACAATAACATGCCGATTGTCACCAGCGTGATATCGTATTGAATTTTCTTCTTTTTTCTCTCTTTCCATAAGCTTTCGTATTATCTGCGTGTGAATGTCGAATAACAGGCACTACAAATAACAGATACGAAGAATTTAACTTGACGAAAAGAATTACAGCAAGAAGGACGCTAGATAAGTTCTTTGCCAATGTAACAGCGCGATTGCACGTGCATACGTAAATTAACAAAGTTTATTTGAGAAGGAAAATGATCACAGTGGACCCACCGGTTCCTAGGAGGACGTTTATTTAGGAACATGTTACGGAACATGAGGTTTTCCCTCGAATTTTCTCAACGCTTCCCTTACGAAACATCTGTAAAACGTTATTACAGAATGTCCTGTGAAATTGTAAAAGGAGGGAGATCCTCTCGTGGCAGATTGTTACGTGTAATCGAGGAATCGTGCCAGGGACGCGCGGACGGTTTGCCGGTGACAATTTACAATAACCGCAACGAATCTGCGACGGACGATGCTGCTACTTTCGCGAATGCAATCTGGATCAGAATTTTTTTAATCAATCTACTTCGTGTTGATCCTACGCTCTGTCGACAGTTTCTCCTTTGATCCATTTAGCAATTAAATTCACTAATCCACGGGAAGAAACATACGAAATATATAAAAAATATAAGATACGAAGTACATACCTTACCTTATCACATTTGATAAGTGGAACAGATCTCTCCTCAAGTTGTGTTTTCTTTTTTTTTCTTTTTTCTTTTTTTTTTTCTTAGCGATCATAAAAATATGAATTTGAATGAAATCGACTAATAATTATCTCTGGAGGTGAACGCTCGAGAAACGCTTGGAAACTTTTTTGCAACGATTTAATAGATCATTTTTGTCCGGGTAGAGAGTGTCGGTATCGAAAGTGAAGTGGTCGTAAGATTTCACGTGAATTGAAACTGTACTCTCCCACACTGCTTTCTTCTAACAATACCTATTCGTTCTACTGTTTCGCTGGCTGTTCAATTTCACAATTAGGAAAAAATCGGTAATATTTACCATTTCGTATGGTGAGGAGTACGTAGATGAAATAGGCGACGATCAGGCCGCCGATCAGCGTCAGCATCTCCGCGGTGAATTCCAGCCACATTTATCACGCGTTTCACATCGTATCACCGATGTTGATAAGCCTAGCAAACGGTTTGTTCGCACTTTCGACTCATAACGTTATTTTTATCATTACAGTCGGTATTCCGGCAACGCTCGATATAATTCTCGAGTCGAACGAGAATTTTCTCGATCAAAGCGATCTAGAAAAAAGATTCAACGGGCTTGCAAACTTCTGCTTGACGTTTGATTATAACTATAGCAT